TTTATTAGATTAGCTAAAATTAGAGAAATGCTAATAATAAGGTTCTCTTGATAAGTGATAGAAATATATTAATATATGCTATTAATAAGAACTGGTCCTTGAGATAAATAGCATAAAACTATGATAAATCTGCAACTTCATCATTTGGTTCTGATAAGTCTCATCAATACAGCTGAGCTCAAGGATCTTTGAGTACTTCTCCATGTCCTGCTCCAAGTGTTCTATCCTCATCATTGACAAATGTATTTTCCATTCTTTCTTTTCACTACAGTATACTCACCTTTATAACCTTTTGTAAATCCATGCTTTGGCAATTAAATCTATGCAAATATCTGAATTCCCAGCTGATGGCAGGAAACCTAGCTTTTCTGCAAGCATCTTAACCTCAAAATACCCCAAACCAAATTCAATGTCTTCTTTTCTTCCAACTATGCAAATCCTCTACTATATTTCACTATTTCTTTTAAGAAACTACATTTTGGAGAAATATTCTCACATAGATTCCAAATTCTAAAACAATCAGAATAAACTTTTATTCTAGTAGTTGTGTCATTGTTTCTTTACATAGCTCTTATATAGTTACTATCACCAATCCTATGACTAATTGTAATTTTGAAGTAAACACTACCTCTTAAAGAAAAGAACTGACAGGGAAATTTTGAGTCAAGTTATAAAACTATTCCTGTAATGATGACTTCTCAGTTACAATTAAATTACTTGCTTCTAAATTTTAGCCATATTCCATTGTGAAGCAATGCTGTGACTCCTCCATATTTTTGTAGTTTTATTCATGTAGCTAGCTCAATAGTTTTGCTTGTAGAATACAGTTTTGAATCATTGACTGTAATTTCAACTAAATTTGACAGCCACCATTTCCCAATCACATACTATGTATCTGTATCATTCCTTTTGCATAGAATATTCCCTTTATATATCATTTTGTCCCTTGAACAAATATCTTACAAGGCCCACCACAAATACCAAGGCTTCTTGATGGTTTCGCTTCCTTATATTCCCTAAAATATTGCTATCTGTAATTGTTTCTTTTGTTGTTTGACCCTTTTCAGTTTATTCTAGACTCCAAGTTGCTAAATGGAAAAGGTAATATTTGTTCAATCATCCATAGCTAAATTGTGCTTAGCACAAAAATTTGTGCACAGAATTTCGTGAATAAATCTTGTTGAATTGCTTAATCTTATATAGTAAACACATATTGCTGATTGGCTTGCCTCAGTACACAGTTGTGTGTTTAAGGGAAGAAAAACTATATAGAAGAGGAAATATTTTTCAAGATGTTCTTTCAATTGGCAGCGCAAATTGCTCGAGGCATGGACTGGACTATGATTCTTCCATACATGGGACAATTTATTGTTATTTTCAGAGAAAAAGGGAAGAATCACATTATATATATCAAAGATTCTTTAAAAACTATATAGAATCTTGCTACACCTGCATGTAGTAAATCATAACAATAGTAAAAGTTTATTCCTAGAAAGACAGCTTTCTTCAATATCTTACATAGACAAATAGAGACAACATTAAAAATTATTCCTCTCATCCTCCAAAAACATACCAACAGCAAAACCAGTAAGTTCCATGCTAAAATAGTTTACTAAGGCTTTGAAGTAAACCAAGAAAATATTATATTTTTTATTGTTATGATATCTGAAATTCACACATTCAGGTTTTGATACAATGTGCCCTAATTTATTCAAATAGAAATCCTGCGTTGATATCAACATGTAAAGATGAAAATTTAAATGATATGGCAAGAAAGTAATCAACTTAAATGAAATATTTTTGGCTGTTTCCCTGCTTTTGGAAGTTGTTCTGCAAGCTCTTCATAATGATCACTTATCTGCATTTCAAAGAAAGCTGAACACTGATGTTTTGTTCTTTATTTTATTAATATGATAACTAAAATCCAAAAGTCATAGAAGAATTATTTCGTAAAATAGCAATATCCAAACCAAGTATGAAAGTTTTAAAAACTTTTTTGTAAATATTTTGTAAATATTTTTCTGCTGCTTTTGCCTTAATAATGTTTATTTACTAAAGTATGGATGATATTTTAGTGCTTTTAAAAACATAAAAGCACTAAAGTATCATCTGTAGGTTTATAAAAATATGCTAGAAATACTAAAAATTTGTATATTATGATAACATTGCACTGATCAAATTGTGTACTAGTAGGCAACAGAAACTCTCATACATTACTGATATAAGTGTAAAAACATACAACTACTTTGGAATAATGGCAGTATCTACTAAAGTTAAACACACCCATGCCTATGTTATGCTTAGCAATTCCCCTTCCAGAGAAAGTCTTGGACCTTAACTTCATGATCCCAAAATGCATACATGTATTCACCACAAAAGATGTTCAAAGATATTCACAGCAGTACTAACAAACCCTAAGAAATACCCAAATACTCATCAACAGGACAATAGGTAAGTTAATTATGATGTATTCATATAATGGCATATGATACAGCAATGAGAATGAATAAGCTATTGTTACATGCAACAATATGGATAAATCACATAAACATAACACTTATAAAAATAAAGCAGACTCAGAGTAATTATATAAAATTCTAAAATGGAAAAAAAACATATTTATTATATAAGTCAGGAGAGTGATTACCTTTGACCAAGGTAGTGCCTTGGAAAGGATTATGGTGGAGGAAGAGGGTGGGGTGGGTGCTTCTGTGACAGTCACACTTCTACTTGTTGAACTGTAGTCTCCTCACTTAGGTATGTTCCCTTTGCAAAACTTTTTCTAGAGGGAAATGTATTATTTGTGCATTTTTCTCTGTGTATATTGTATCTCAAAAATATGTTTTTAAAAAATCTTCAAAGCCTATGAAATAAAAAGTCTGTACCAGTAAATTATCTACTTATAAATATCTGTGGTTTCTGATGGTTGTTGCCTCCAAATTGCCCTGGTAAGCTGTTTTCAAACTTAAAAATATGTTAGGAATTAATGCCATTACTTTCTTTTGTCTTTATCTTTTTTCTTGTTTCCTCTGTGCTCAACACATCAGGGTTGGAATTAGAGAATAAAGAATCATTTCCATGAAGACATTTATTTTACAAAATATTTCCAGTAGAGGGAGCTTTCTTTTTTTTCCACAGGAAATTCTGTTTTGGCTGTCATCACTAAAAGTGAAAATGCTTAATTTTTTACATATAATTAAAGTTCTTCAGAGAGTGATAACTTACTCTCATCTAAGACTAGTCATGGATAGATAAAAATTTATTTGTTTTATGAAAGTAGAAAGAAAAACTTGATGAAGAATATAAGTTAAGAAGCAAAACTTTTGTATGTTATATGTCTTTTCAAAGAATTACATTTTTGCGCTACTCATAAAATGTATTTCTAACTACAATTACTTAAGATTAATGAAGATAAATTCTTATAATCACAGTCATCCATTTGAAATACTTTTCATAGCTTTTAACACAGTTGGACAAAAATCAGGGAATCTAGTGATGCAAATTATTTATCTCAGAACATGTTTTAACAAATATCATAGTGAATTGCCATTATACAAATTTAACCCCATTGACCAAAACATTTTGGTTTCTGATTTTAGCTTCCTAAATCTAAGTATCTATCAACTAAGCTAATCTGATTTCTTTGAAAAAATGCATTTTACCATCTAAGCCATGAAGAAATATATTACAGGGAAATTATCAGTTTATATTTTAACATGAATTTCATACTCCTTTACATAAAAATTTCATAAATATAAAAGCTCCATATATTTTGCTTTATTACAAATAAAATTTCTGACAATAATAAAGTTACAAAAATTTACTAGATCATATAAAAATGATTTTCATTGAAAATATTTTGGTTAAAAATAGTTGAATTTCTTATTTTGGGAAAAAAATCAATAATTTCAGAAATAATAACCATCAAAATCAGTTTCTATTCTATATAAGCAAATCAAAATAATTTAAGTTTCTATAAGGTAGTTTGAGATACACTATTGGTTTTTTTAAGGTAGCCCAAAGATGAAAAATTGACATAACAATAAAGAATATTTACATACTCCTAATAGAAATCAGTATACATATAACTTGGTTACTCTAGTTATTTGACTTCAATCCTCCTTTGAAAACCTTGCAAGCCATAAAAATGGAAATCCTATGGTAATTAATTGTAATAGTAAAATAAAATTTATATTGGTGGGTTAAAATTCTATGTGAGCAGTACCTTACCTTTACACATTCATTAAGAATGGGGTAAAATTATCTGATCCTTTGCCTAGTTCTCTTATACTCTTTAAATTATTTTTTAAGCCTGCCAAATATGACAGGGTCATGATAAGAAAATGACATGTTATAGAACAATTTCATAGTTTAATGGCTTTGTTATAATATTACTTTCATCAAGAAGATTATTCCTGACATAGAACATATCTAATAATCTATTTATGATTTTGCTTTCATGTATTACCTGAACTAGGTCATTAGAAAATAGTACTTGCAAGGCCCTTATTTTGATTCATTTAACTTAACCTTTGAATATACCAACAATGTTTGGAGTTTCTCTCATCAGTAAACGACTGTCTTCTATATTTCTGCATTTAAAAAAGTAATGTCTCATTTCTAAATAGTAAATGTTTTGTAACTTTCAAAAAGAGAGTAACACCCAAATTATATAATTCACTTAGAAAAGGGGAACTTTAAAAGCAATTTGAGAAGGAAAACGTAGGCTTTTGAAATAATTTGTATTTTTTTTTTTTTGCTCAGCTGCAAATAACTCAAGATGCCGGTTGCTAAAATGCACGAATTAATGAAAAAACAAATGAGTAGGTCTCAGTAGATAGACAGCTAGATAATTTAGATAGACAGCAATGCTATTAAATTGATTGTTTCAACAAGTCAATATAGAACTGCAAATTTCCCGGTTTCATCAATAACAAGTGGTTGTAACGTAATACACAGGCTTAATGAGTTCTCCAACTGTTAAATCCAAGCGGACTCACCTGAGTAACAGTGCTGCTTCCCAGAAGTAAAATCCCGAAACTAATGTCCGAAAGTGTCTCACGTGGGCCATGATACGGAGAGATATTCACGATCCTGAAAATAGTCTTATCCAAGGCATGGGGAACCAGAAAGACAGAATGAAAATGTGCAATCTAACCCCGCATGGTGTTGGTGTAGACTGATGCTTGGGAAGCTTCAGCACCTTAGACAGCTCCCTGCAGTATGCGGACCCCTTCTCAGCATTGAGCAGAAGGGGAGAGTCACAGGGTTATAAATGTGCAGGTGATTTTTAGAGTGAAATTACAAAAATGAGTGAGATGAAATGTCTGAAGTGCCTAGGTGCTGGGCAACAATTCTCTAAAGCTCCACCAGCAAAGGAAGAATGTTCGTCCTTCCCTGACTGAGACCCAGGATTGGAGGAAGAAGAGCAGCAACAGCGGGAAAGAGGATGCCTCTCCACCTGCTCCAAGCGCCGCCCGCTGGAATCCCGCTCTCTACCTTGGGCTAAAACCCGAGACCTGGAGCGCGGCAAAGGGAAGGGGGTGGGGTGGGGCCCGACGACTCGTCCTGCTGGCCAATCACGACCGCACAGCGGGACGGAGTGACAGGCCACTTACGACTGTAGGCGGGGCTTAGCATTTCACCCTTTAACAAAACCCAAACAAACCAAAAGGCGACTGGAGCGAGGTGGGCGGTAAAAGCCACAGGGAAAAGTCAGCGATTTTGTGACTTAGGTAGTATAACCCCGCGGGAGGGACCCTCTAGTGTTCTCTTCCGGGAAGACACACTTTAGGTCTTTTCGGATGTGGCACTGTCTCTTAGACTCTGCACCGAAATGCAAGAGTCAACAGTAAACCCAGACCCTGGCGGAGGGCTGGGGAAGAGAAGACAATGTGGTGCATGAACGCCCGTGGAACGGAAGAACCAGCTGCTTCCAGAATCCTCTCAAGCCTGGCCAGCTTCTGGCCAGGAAGCATTGTTGACTGGATTTAAGTTGGGTTTCCTTCAGTAATAGTAAGGGTTCTAAAAAGATGAAAGTGTGAAGTCTAAAGAGATGGCTACTAGAGACGCAATCCTCCCCACTTGTTTTTGTTTTGTTTTGTTTTTGTTTTGTTTTGTTTTGTCTTTTCCGTTTTACATCTTCATAGTAAGTTCAAGTGAGAAGAACAGCTAGGTCACATGGTACCATAAGGTCCATCTTTTCTCCATCATGTTAGCCTTTCTGTCCTTCTTTTTCTCTATTTTCCCCCCTCCTTCTCTGTCCCTGTTTTCCTCCCTTCCCACATTTATTTACTTTGGGTTTTGGATGGAAGACTGGAAAAGAAAAGTAAGTGTGTGTGTGTGTGTGTGTGTGTGTGTGTGTGTGTGTGTGTGTGTGTGTGTGTTGTGTTGTTTATGTATTTCAAAGTAATCGAATTTTTTAAAAATTAAAACTTATTTGATCTTTATAGTGGCTTTTATTTACTATCAGCCATGATCAAAATGTTCGCTCCTTGAATCTTAGATTTTCCCCAAAACTTCCTCAGATATTTATTCTGAAATCCTTACTTTCATCTCTTAACTTAGTCTATTGACATGTCAAAAATGATTCCTTATTTCGACACATTAGTTATTCCTGAAATTCTCTGTTTAACGGGAAAGCATAAGTCACCACCTTCCAACCCTCTCATATGAAAAATTTCTCTCTCTACGCTTTAGTAAAAAAGTTTTATTTACATTCAGTGACAATAAAGAGTTTCCCAGATTTATTTCTAGATGTTCTTATTATACTTGTCTCTTTTCACATAGTGGTTTTCTGATTTAAATGATAAATTGCCACAAGTTTCATAAGGAACACCATTGATTCTGCCCAGGAATATTTGCACCTGGAGAAGATTCACACCGTTTTTATTAACTTAATTATTCATGATGAATCTTTTGAAATCTCACTAAGCACAAAAGCTTTTTAGTTGGTCATTCTTTGAATAGCAGTAATAATTGTTTAAAATCGTACACCGTAAAAAACTTCAAAACTTTATTTGAAGAATACGTGGATTCCTTGCTCTGCTTAACCACTGATTGGGTACTTTTAGAAAAGTTATGTTCTTTAAAAAATATTTTTTTAATATATATTTTTAAAGTATATTTATTGAGAAAATTAGATTAAATGACCTTGCAGATTTATTCTCTGGCTTGAAGGAGACAACTAATGTATGTTTAAGTCAGTACATTAATAGATAATATTAAAACTCTTTATAGTAATCTGGAAAATTAAATTACACAATAGCTTAAAAGACAGGATAATTTTAACTATTTCATCTTGCAGTTAACATAAAATGTAGGAATATACTTTATAAAATTAGTATGACATAAAATTAGTATGGATCTAATTCTTTTTTTTTTATATAAAGGTCATGTGAGAGAATGGCTGGAATCCTCATAATACTCATTTTTCCTAACACCATAATTATTTTCTTCAAATTACTTATCACTCTTTGTTATCATCCTCCTCATTTATTTGTTGGACTTTTTCACTAGAGTGAGGACAATGGCCTCTATTTAGCACAGCACTTAGCATATAGTAGATACTAAATATTTGTTGGATGCATTAATTATCATATTGGAAACACAATATGCATTTTTTCTATTAATAAATGAATGAACTTGTTACAGTGCATTGGGAAGTAGAGTAATTACATATATTAAAAATTGAGTTGATTGTGGTGCTCTGTTTCAGATAACATTTGATGTTTAATTTCCTAGTGTATTTTTGTTGATGAACATTTATATTATTTGTTTTAATTTATATAAGGTCAAATGGAATATTATGCATCTACATATTTTTGGTAGCTATCTTGTAAATCTTATTCTTTTCAGAATAATAGTCCTGATTGAATGGGTAGGCGACTGAATGTGTTTCTGGGGGCAGAGGGAACCTTCTGTAGCTGAAGAGTAGCTGATCAGCCCATTCATATACAACTAAGCTGGATTCTGACATGGTCAAATCTCAGCTTTACCCTTTGTGGCCTTTATTATTGCTTTCTTGCACTAACAAATTCTACTTCACATTATATAGGACATGGGACTTCGGAGCTCAATGGGATATCAATCTTCATCATGCTTAATTCTTACTTTTCAAGAGAAAGCAACTGTAGACCTTTGTGGTTAAGTGATGGTTACAAGCCCTCGTATCCAGTAAGCTGAAGATATCAAACTTGAATTTGGGACTTTAGGTTCATTGTCTAGTTTTTCTTTTTTCATTACCATGGAGCTATTTTTAAGGCACATTTATTCTATTTTTTCAAAATATATGTACATTGCCTAAGCTACAGAAAGATCAACTTCAGTATAATGATAAAGATGCCTCTTTTATTTAGCTTTTTTTTTTCATTTTCTCAGTTGTTTCTACCAATGCTAAACCTATAATATTTTCCACACATTGTTGAGATGCTTTGCTATTTAATGAAAGCCCCATATACTCTTTAAGTCAATGTAGTATAGAATTAGTGCTAGTTTACTGAGAGTTGATTGGATTCAGTAGCATTCAATCATTCTAACCATCTCATCAAAAATTGATATGCAGCACAAAATGCCAGTTTAAACACTTACCAAAAGTAATGTTACTTTTGAAATAATTAGAATATTGGCATATTTGAATTAACACTCCCTAAGTTTGAAAGAAAGTTTTAATTTTGGGATCAATCAGAAAGTTGCTTATTTAATATACATCTAGTAGAGAATAATTGGCCTTATGGCAGGCTTATATATTGTCACTGAATATATGAGCCTAGTGAACTTACCTTTGGCATAGATATTGACCTACTGAGAACACTGGAATAATCATGAAAAGTTATTAGTTGATTAGGTGACACTCTTTTTTGAATAGTGGGAGAAATATCCAATAATTTATTTCCATTTGCTTGTCTAGGCTACACAATTTTGTACATGAATCTCAGTAACAGCTTCCTAATTGTTTCTCCTGCTAATCTAATTAAAGCTCCACTATAAATATTAAGTTTTTTTTAAGTAAATCAAATGATGCTACTTCTATTCCCAAAGCCCTTTATTTCCAATGCAACAAATTGAAATTCATGATCCCTTTTATAGCTCACGAGACTCTGAATAATATCCCATTGGTAATCTCCTGAGCCTCATTTTTTAAAATGTGAAATTGCATTTATTTTTTGTACATTTTGTAGACAGTTTTAACTTTTCAGAATATTTAAATGAGTAATTTATTGCTTATTTAGTTTTAAAAATATTTATTAAGAGATGATTGATGTTCAAAAAACTATGGATATTTAATGTACACATCTTAATGTGTTCCGAGATAGAGATACACCTTTGAAACCATCAACACAATTAATGCTATAATCCCATCCATGACCTCCCAAAGTTTTCTCCCACTCTTTCGATTGTTTTGTTTTTCCTTTTTGTGGTAAGAGCATTTAACTAAGATTTATCTTCTCAACAATTTTTAAAGTATACAATACAGTATTGATAATCATAGGACCTTTGCTGTAGAGGAGATATTCAAAATTTTTTTTTGTCTTGTGTAATTGAAACTTTAGAACTTTTGTCCAATCCTTCCCCAGTTTCCTCCTCCCCTATCCTCTGATAACCAACCCTTTGCTCTGCTTCTGTGAGTTTGACTGTTTTAGGCTCCACATATACATGAGATCATATAGTACTTATCCTTCTGTTGACTGGCTTATTTCTCTTAACATAAGGTCCTTCAGGTCCATTCATGATGCCACAAATGTTGAGGTTTTCTTATTTTTTTAAGGCTAAATAACATTCCTGTGTGTGTATATATTACCATGAATCATGGTGTCACAATTGATTTCTTTATCCATTCATCCATCAATGGACACACATGTTGTTTCCATATCTTGACTACTGTGAATAATGTTGCAGTGAACATGGAAGTGCAGATATCTCTTCAACAAACTAATTTCAATTCCTTTAGAAATGCACCCAAATGTAGAATTTCTGGATCAAATGGTAATTTTAGTTTTAATGTTTGAGTAACCTTCATCTTGTTTTCCATAGTGGCTCTACCAATTTGCATTCCCATCAACAGTATAAAGTGTTCTCTTTTCTCTACATCTTAGCTAACACATGCCCTGTGTTTTTTGATAATAGCCAACTTAACAAATATGAGCTGATATCTCTTGTGGTTTTAATTTGTATTTTCCTGATGACTGGTAAAAGCCATTTTTCATTTACCTATTGGCTATTTCATGTCTTCTTTTGAGAACTGTCTGTTTGGTTCCCTTGTCCCTTTTTTGTTTGGGTTGTTTTATTGCTATTGAGTTGTTTGAGTTTATTATAAGTTTTAGATATTAACCCCTTTTCAGATACGTGGTCTGCAAATATTTACTCTCATTCTATAATTTACCTTTTCATTTTGTTAACTGTTTCCTTTGCTGTGCAGAAGCTTTTTCATTAGATGTAATCCCACTTGTTTATCCTTGCTTTTGTTTTCTGTGCTTTAGTGTCACATCCAAGAAATCATTGCTCAGTCTAATCTG